ATAACAGACGTCATGGAATCAGCTTGGACATCGGTTTGTAGAATTGGGAGTACAGTAGCTCATGGTGAATTCATGCTCAAAGAAATCCCTTACTAAGTCAGTTTGCTTCCCATGACTTGTGTCACTTTTGTCTTAAAGCCTTTCTTTCGTAATGATACTAGGTACAGTGCTAGTAAAACTCATTGTAATGGCTCTCAGATCATTCTGAATACACTGTACACACTTGTACTGCAGAACCAAGAATGATGAGCTGCAAGGACAGTTCCGTATGACTTTTACATTCCTAAAACATTTAAGATATCTTTTGTTAACACCGTTTTAGTTTTCTCACCGTATGTCTTTACCCACTAGATTTTTACCTTTCTCTTTAAGCTTGACTGAGGTCATGAAGCAGGAGGACAGAAAGCAGTCGATACTTTTCCTGTGTCCCAACACAAAGATGTAGAGAACGTACTCGTGGCTTACAGGATGGGATCATTTCTGAGAACAAAACAGTGCCATCAGGGAGCAGAATGTCCCTGGGCCTCTCTTCAGAAACTGCAAAAAAATAATCAGGATTTCAGACCCTTGCTTTCTGTCAGGTGACTTGGGTGACTTCTCAGGGACCCCAGTAATTTGAGTAAAGTACAGCTGTGATTTTGTAAGCAGAACGTAAAATATTTTCTTTTTTTCCTTATGCATGTATTACTACATTGAGTATGATCAGGCAAAGAGGTATATTGATCTTTGATTATTCATTGAACTTTATTATTCAGCATGCAGTTGTCTTCAATGGTCTATAGTTCCATTCCTCTTAGCAGACAGCCCCTTTCTAAGCCTCTCCTAACAAATTCTGAGTCTCTCTAATCTTCCTAGTTCTGTTGGTAATGTAGTTTGTTTTGTTATACTTGCTGCCCTGATTTGGCTTTCACTTTGTAGTTTATGACTCAGGAATTCCCTTTAGTATTCGATATTTCGATAGTCTTTGAGTCATATGGCAGGGGGGTTGGAACTAGATTATCCTAAGGTCCTTTCTAACCCTAACTATTCTGTCATTCTAACTGTACTAATGCAATGCAAATTCAAGTCAAAACGGAGGTGCGTGATCATGAAATATTCTGAAGGTACCCCAGTAACACTGATATCAATGGCAGGAAGGTGAATCCATTAAAAATATCAAGTGTATACAGTTGCTGGTATTCCTAGGCTTGAGGGAGAGGTCAGTTTATTTTGGTGGGCTTTTTTCTTTTCCATTTTGTGCTGAACATTTCTTCAATTTTAAGTTTGGTCTCCTATGGTGGGGCTTTATAGAGAATAAAGAAAGCCACAAGAAACACTAAAAGGAGTTAAGTACCTAAGTGCTTTTCTTTATCTTCTGAAAAAAAAATAAAAAATCACATTTTGTTTAGATTCATTACTCTTTTGTTGAGTGTCAGCCTAATGTAATCTTAATCCCCAGAAGCATTCAGCTCTGGAAATGGTACTTTATAGCAATAACTGTGATAAACTAAAAAATAATTTTCTGGTTTACTATATTTTTCTACTTAATTATTATGAGAAAGATAAAAAGGAAACTGCTAATGAAAGTGGACATATAGGTGCACTATGTGCCTTCAAAGTGATATACAGTAGTTATGCCCCCCAAATTCAATTATCTGTAAAGTGCATTCATGCACAGATTGTGGCTTCTGTGCTTGTCTCTGATAATTTAGCCACAATCTGATGCAACAATAATGGCTTTATTTTAATTTTTGGCTCCTTGTTCCCTCTAAAGTGTTTGCTATTCCCATACGAGCCCTTTCTCTTTACAAAGTGAACAGCTATTTGATCGCTGACACTGCCACTGATTTGTGGAGTAACGGGATGATTAAGTATATTGGCAGAGTGCCTCATTTACCTACTGATAGGCAACAAACCCTTTGTCTCTTTTTTTTTATGATCTTTCATCTCTTCTCTTTTATACATCACTGAGCTCATATTAGCAATTGACCTGCAATGTGGAAATGCAGGCGCATTTCACGATGGCTTTAGGCAAACAAAATGATCATCAGGATACGCAAGAGTGAATCAGTTTTTCCATTCTCTGTGAGAATATAATACCCATTTTGAGGCATCTCAATTTGAGCGTTCCTGAAATCTGCACAACACAGCATACATAATTGCTTGCAGAGACTTGTCCTAATTGGCAGCTTAAGGAAAGAGACACAGACAGTTCTTACCACTTTCCACATGGAAAGTTCTCCAGAGACTGTTGAAACAATTAATAGACATTTCTGTCTTTCTGCCTAAGGTGCATGACTTGAAAACCCAGATGAAATGATAGCAAATCACACACTGAGCAGTCTGAACTCTTCCCAAAGTGGATGACATCCTTTGGAAAAAGAGAGACTCTGTGGGGGAGAGGAATACACAGGGGACAGGAGAGGTTTTGTACATGCTTTTCTCTGTTTCTTCCATTGTTTTATGTATGTGTGTCCCTATGTGCATCTGTAAAGCATTGTATCTGTATTCCTCTCCTATGAAAACATTGGAGCGTATTTTTTCCTATTGTGATCAAATTAACTGGTTCGTTACAAATGCTGAAGGCTGCATTTCATTTATTCAGTAAGAAGGTTTATATTTCTTCTTTTTTTTTCATACTGGGTTACTTCAGTGTTTATCCTAGAACGTCTTCTACTTTCCTTAGGGTTTAAAAAAATTTCATAGTTTTTTTCTTTTAAACTTTTGGTTTGGAATGAATGATGAAACTATTACAACCCAAGAATTCTGTTGTAAACCTGGGTTTCATAAAAGAAGTACTTGTGTTTTCCTGGGATAGCTGCCTAAAAGTATCAAAGCAAAACTGTTTGCTAGGCTTTAATATGGAGGGTTTTATCATATAGTGAATAACCTATAAGATAATTTTAAATTATCTCAAGATATTGAATAGACACAATATTTAAAAAAATAAAAGGCAAAAAAAACCCCAAAACTGCCCCGGCTGATTACCCATTTGATTTGTATTGGAGGCACTTCATCTGTGAGGTACTTTTGCAGTGAACAACAGCATCTTTCAGTACACTGTCTGCTAGCTTGAACTTTCACCTCAACCAGACAGGCTCACTCCTTTCACAAGATAGTCTCACTGCTAACCGTGAACTCACTTCAGCAGTCACCTTGTAATCATAGCAGACACAGCAGAGGCCTCCCCTGGGAGAGGTGTAGAGAATACAGCAATGGGAGGTTTTCAGTGCAGAGAGTGCTATTGCTTTGGGTACTTCCAGCAGCAGGGGAGCGTGGGTTTAACTGGCAGGTAAACATATGTTTCTTACAGCGGGAAGCTTAGATAATATAACTTAGGTGTTTTCGTAGCATCCTTTATGTTTACTATCCCATTAAGATCAAGGTATAAAAAGAAATTTTTCAGCAGATACTTCCTGTTAAACTCAGTGATGCTTAAGATGTGTTTTAGTTTTTTATCTGATGATCATCTTATACACTGGCTCTAGAGAAGACTGGGAGAGCATAGAATAAGGTCAATCAAGAATCCTGCTACCACTTCTTTGACCTAAGAGCTATTTGCTTTGCTGCAGAAAATGATGGCATATTTACATTGCAGACACAGTACATTACTGCTCAGTGATTTTGAGAACCCAATGTCCCATTTACCTGACTTGAAGGCTTATTGTAACTGTTACCACTTTCATCTGTGGCAAAGTCCAGGCCACTGACTTTTGTTATGCATATCTACTACAGAGGAAAAATAATAAAATTATATTTTTAAAATTCTGGTTTCTTTTCCATTTTCCCAATTTCCTCTGAATGACATCACCTGGAATAAATTTGAGCTCCAGATATTGCAACTTCACAGCTCTTGTCTCTCTTATCATAAAATATATTTTGGCTTCTGCTATTCAGGGCACCCTTCTATAGTATAAACAGATGCTAGTGTTTGAAATGAGCACTTCATGGTAAGTAGAGGCCATATGCAGAGGCTAAGCATGGTCTGTTGGCAGTGAATATGTTTACCTTTCTTCAATGCTTTATTTCATGGCATTAGTTTTTTCTGTTTCTGTTTATGGATGAATGCTATTGTGATGTAACTTCTCTAAGGTGTGATCTAACTGTTCTTTAAGGAAGGTTTGTCAATAGAGAAGGGTCGTTATGATCCGAAAATTGTCAGGTCTATTCTATATTTGAAACATTCAAACTTTGTCTTCACCTGGTATGATAACATTGCATAGCACTGAAAGAAGGAGAACCTCTGCTTCAACAGATTCTTTTCAGCTGTTAGTACAAGGAGCACAAATGTGAACTTTCCAAAAATTTCAGAGAAGAGTTTGGGATGTGGGAAAGTATATATGCCTAGTAGATGGCCTGTTTTGAAGTGGGCTGTGCTGAGAAGGCATGCATATCCTGCAGGTGTCCAAATATCTCAACTTTGGCAATACCGATGGGTTTTAGGATCACAAGGTGACGGTTTTGGTCTTGTTTAGACTTTTTCCAGTTTCAAGAGCTCACAGTGGAATGAAAAAGAGGTAGTATAGTTAATCTTTCATCCCTCCAAGTGCTGGGACCCCAGGTTGTGCAGCATTGGATGGACCTCCTACTCATTGTAACAACATTTTCATGGTTTTAGAACAGTTCTTATGGTAGTAACAAATATTCAGACCTCTTGAGTCAGTTTCGAAGTACATATTTTGTAATACAAATGTTGTTGGTTTATGAATGAACAAGCTGTTGTGTAGAAAATGCTGATGCAGAGCAAGATGACTGCAGACTTGGGCTGTAAAAATGTTACCAGGTGTGCTAGGAGTACAGTCAATTCATCATTTAATTTCTCTGCCACCATTAAAGATAAGTGCTTATTTCCAAATCAGGTGGTTGCCTAGCATCATAAATGCAATTATTTCCCCTTTTTTGTGTTGGCATTCACAGGCTTCCGTGACCCCTTACTTTATATCTGTTACAAACTCAGATGCTTTGCTTTCTGTAGCGGATTCCTCTTTTTCTTATTCACACTCTCCCATATGTCTTTTCAGTGGTCAGTGTATATCCGTGCTGCTGTCCGCAAAGAAAAAGGATTGCCAATTCTGGTGGAGCTGCTCCGAATAGACAATGACCGGGTAGTATGCGCAGTTGCTACAGCTTTACGAAACATGGCCTTAGATGTCAGAAATAAGGAGTTAATAGGTATGTTCTTTCCAAACAATTTATATATTCTGTGGGTTTGCTGGGGTTTATTCCAGTTTAGAGCAAAATGAGCTCAATGAAAACAATTATTCTCACATTTCTAGCATGTTTTCTTTAATTCTTTCTCTAATGGGTCACATTCAGGTTTTTATGCGACAGCTTAGTGCTATATTGCAAGGAATTGTTAAATTAATTAAACAAGATGCCGTGTTTCATGATCTGTCATGCTGTAATCTCCAGAAGAAAAGCAGTGGCTTTGTTCCGCTTTAGCACTTCATTCCTACGCCGGCAGTAGCACTTGCATCCTCCAGATCAAGGATCTAAGCAGAACAGCCACTCCTTATCCTTAGATTATCTATTGCAAGTAATTTGGGGGTCATGAAGTGACAGATAATAAAGATTCTGAAATGGTTCCAGGATTTTACAGGGCACATTACTAGTTCTAGCAGGAGAACTGTGAGATGCTTGATACACAAACCCATATGCAATTAAAAAGAAGAGGACAGTAATTTGCAGAAATCATTGTTGCCCCTGAATTCTGATGGTATGGTAAGCAGCCATCTTGGCATTTGTTGGGGGGAGGGGGTTATTTATTTTGTTTAGGTTTTTGGTGGTGTTTTTAACTGACATTCATCCAAACACTGTTGACCTTTGAACTTTTATTTTCATGTTCTGTCTTTGAAAAGCAATCACTTTCTTCATTTTAAACTCTTTCACCAGTCATGACAAAATGATTTCTACTTCTTTTGTACGTTAAGAGCGTATTTTTTGTTCATTTTTTGCTAACTTCTTAATTTGTACCATTACAGCATATGTCTTCTGTGCTTTTAATTACAGAATTCCACAAATAGATACTTTGATCATGATGTTTTATTATTTGTATCTATTGCTATCTCAGGGTTAGTGCTTCATATATCAGTGCTCTGCAAGTTGTTAAAACAAAGCAGTCACTCCTCACATATTGTGCAAACTAAAGAGACTTCACTGGCAAAATGTTGTAAAGCAAATAGAGATATAGGTTGCTGAATAGTGGAAACCTGCTGTGGCTGTCCAGGGATTGAACTCAATACTGATGCTTTACGTGCAAGACCAGCCTGCTTGTTCAGCTTCTGCTTGTGTTCTAGTTGATAAGTTTGGCATGAAATTAGATTTGTTCTATGTATTATATTCAGCTTTCAGGAAGCAGGCTGCTGCACGTGTGTTATTAGAGGGGGGTTTCTGTTTGTTTTCTGGGAATTTTTAAGTAGAAGTTACTCTGAAGCGAGTTTATCAGGAAATCTGATCAAGATTAATAGCAAACCTTTTCTTTTTCTCTCACGATCCCACCTCCACATTCAGTCTACAGCATGTCATAATCTCTATTATTTAACATCCCATTCCATTATTTATGGGACTTCCTCTATACGGTTCACAAACCACATTCATACTGAGTTATCTTATGTAATCTCTTATCCCTACTTACTGACATCACAAAAAAATCTTTGCAGTTGAATTTACAGGCTATAAGCATGGTTTGTAAGGCCATGCATTAGACTATGGTAGCCTTTTCTGTGCTCTGATTATTATGTTTTTTTGAAAGTTTTATTTCCTTCCCAAATCTGCAGATTTCCTGTAGGAAAGTAAGGTTATCTTGTGATATCAAGCTGTCATAATATAACGTGCCATTCAAAATACTGGGTAAATTATGGTTAATAAACTTGGACAACCTCAAATTTCTAATAAGTTATTAATTCTTGAAGAATATGTGATAGAAACAAAGATGAATTTTTAAAAGGTGTGAAAAGCCTATTGAAAACAATTACCTGATAAATGTAATTATGTAGCAAACTTGTAATGGCTGTACAGTGGTGCTCAGGTTTGTGGTGTGATTCTGGGGAATCGTACTTCATAACTGCAACACAAATTTGCTGTAATTTAAGAAAAGTCCAAGTGTGCCAGTATGAAAGAGAATTTATGACTGTAATTCCTGAACCATTTCAGCTGTTATCGTTGTATGTTCTTTTCTTTGTCCTTCATCACTGAACTTCAAAGGAACAGTCATGACAATCATTATTGTTCTTGTTCCTGAATATTTTTTGGCAAATAGGGCATATTGTATAGCTATTTTCAGAATGCTAAATATCTAGAGTGGTCAAGAATTTTACCTCATGTTCTAGGTAGTCTATTTTTGTGAATATTACGGTTTGACATATGCTATGATGTTAGTAATAAGCTGTTGTTACAGAAAGGAGGACTCAGAAGGGTCCTCTTCAGGTTAGTCTCTCAAGCATCTTTCTGCATCCTCTTTGCAGTTTTTGTTTGTGTATCAGATTCTTGTGTTGACAAACTCTAATTCACAGACTAGAATTTCCCCCTTAAAGTAACCTTTTTGAAAGGTGAATTTTCCAACTGTATATATAACAGAATTCCATAAGTTAAATTGAGTTGATTGGGGTTTTTTAATGCAGCTATAAACCTTTCATTTCAGTTGTGCTATGCTTCCATTCTGTCTGACAAATTCTTAGTGAAATGTGCCAGAGAATGAAGTATTTCTTTCTGCTGCTGCTAAGCAGCCCATAAATCAGAGTTGAGGCATCTGGCAAATATGTCATAAAGCTTGCTAAAATCCAGAGTTGACTGTAGTGAGCTACAAAACAAACAGAAAACCCTTTTTCTAAATGGCCAGAAGTTTCTTTCTAGAGTTCATTGAATTGACCAATCTGTTTTGTTTTTCACACAGATTTATTTCTTTTTTCTCCTTCTCCATCACTTTTGAATTGTACCATGTGTCTCTAGGCCAAGACAGCAGGCATATTCATCTTTCTCCTTCCCAAAATTGAACTGTACTGAGACAAAGACATGGTAAAACTGGCCGGTTTAGTACTGGCACTAGACAATCCAGCACCTGGGTTTCCCTCACTGGGTTTACTGCCCAGATGCATTCCTGGTCACAGTCAGATGACACTGATTTATACCTGCCTTTCAGGACCCTTGTATGCATGAAATGGTACCCACTCTATGTTTCTTCGAAAGAGTGCACCCTATGGAAAGTTCATTGGCCTTTTCTCTCTTCTGGCGTGTCACAGCTGAGGGAAATGGTGCTGTGGGTCTTGAAAAGACTCAGTACTAATATCGCTCATTTTGTTGTTTGGTTTCAGCAGTCTAGGCTGCTGCATTCCTGTGTCCTTTTGGTATCCCAGCATCTTCCTGCTTCTTTTCACATGCTCTGTAAGCCTTTTGGAAGGCTTCTCCTTCCTCGAATCAGGTTCTGTCTCTGTTAAGCTTCTCCACAGGGCCATTATCTTCTCCCCCCAGCCTCACTAGATGCCTCTGAGTTGGCCAGAAAATCAGATTTTTTTTGCTTTTGATCTTTCATTTAGATAGAAGAAAATCACTTTTGTCCCACAGGTCCTCCAAGAGCTTTGCGATGACTTCTGTGCAGTCAGGTCAAGCCCATATGCCTTCCTTCTTATCTCTCCAAAAAAAAAGAAAGGGGGGGAGGAGGGAGAAGTAGCATAACAAAACCACCCTTCTTGTCCTTCAGCCTTAATCTGAGGGTATGGCATTTTACTCCCTCCCCAGGAATGTCATTTTTAATCTGCAGGCTTGCTGCTTCTGGCAGTGCTCTTTCAGGATGTCAGTCAGGCCAGCACCTCGTGCCAGACCTGTTCCACCATCTTCCATACTGAGTGCACCTACAAACTTTATCCTCTAAAGACACATTTTGTTGGAATAGGGTCCAAAAATTGCTAACTTAGAACAAGGGTTTTTTTTCTTTAGAGGAAACCTGAGCATCTGGGCAGGGCAGAAAAGCTTAAAAATAAATTAATCTCTAGTTAGCAGCATCTCTGCAGGGTGAATTGTTTTCTTGCAGTGTGCTCCAGCAACCCTCAGTTGCTTTCTGATTCAGACACTTTCCACACAGTCCTCTGGGCTTCTAGGAAACTTTCTGTGGATCGTCTGAACATGCACTGTAGAACTGTGTTTCTCTCTTTTCCTCCCTAGAGTCTTCCAGCCAGCACCAGTGCAGCAGCCTCCCTTCTTGCTATTCCCATTCCCCACTCTACATGTGAGAAGGCTTTCCGAACCAAGCTTCCCCATTCAGTTGTGGGAAACAAGCCAGTTTTATATTTCTTTAATCTGAAACACAGGCAGCGGTTTTCCCCTACTGCCATCCACGACCTCTGTAACCAAAAAGGATATGAAATCTACAGTTAATTGAAAACTATCTGACTTGTTATTTTACCTACACAAGCAGGTACAGACTGTCTCTGTTAGTGACATTTTTAAAGGATGAATCTATGTCCCCAGACTTGATGTTTGCATTGTTCTTGTATATGCACAGCATTTACTGTTGATTTTCAGTGACAATTATTGTGGCTTATTAAAGTGCAAAAGGTGGTCTTTCAGAAGGGTTAAGCTGATATTTCAAAGTCTCCCAAGTGAGAAGTTTGTCACTATTCATGTACAACAGAATAAGTACAATATAGGATTTGCCCTCTTGAAGTACGATTTGGAGCTTGTATTAGTACTGCATTTCATACTGTGTAGTGATGGGTCCACAGCATATGGCCTTTGGAATGAGTGCAGAGCTGGAGGTACAATGTGTAAAATTTCAGTGCACGGTTTTGAGCTTCAGGTCTTTCTGTCAGTTTTCTCTTATCCTCACAGTGGTTTCTGATGCTATTCTGGGTCAGTGTTGATTGAGAGAATATTGTGCTAGTAATTCAAGAGCCCCATTCTTTCTCTTGGCCTTTTGGCCTGTATTTTTGTAGTTAAATGTAAGATGATTATAGAGACTGGAAGTATTTTGATCACTCATCCTTGAAAATAAAAGGAGGACAATTCCAGATAAAGGCTTTTGTTGACTTCTTGTCCTGTGTTGGAAGATACATCCTTATGCATCTCTTCCCTTAAAATGTGTGGAGAACAAGTTTCTGTTCAGGGCTCTAGACGCTAGGGAATTTCATGGGCTAAATTGAAGTGTACCAATATATAAGGCAACTTTTGGGGGGCTGTTG